AAAACATTGATGTTTCGGCAGGCCTTCCCCTTTGTCAGCTCCTGACCCCCTCTTCCTTCTTCTCCCAGTGTTTGTCCCATCTTCTGAAAGTCCTCCTTATGTAAATTGCTTTTAATCATATTGTTGTTGTTTATGCTGGTGTAAGCCGCCTAGAGTAGTCTTAATTGATTAGATAGGCGGGATATAAATAAAATAAATTAAAAAATAAATAAATTATTGGACATAGTTTTAGGTCTAATATTGGGGTTGGGGTGATGAAGGAAACACTCTGGGCTTTTTCCTCCTCTTGTTTCATTCCCCAACTTGTGGTGCTAATAGTGTGTTGGACAAGGTCTGTTCTCTCTCCAGCCAAGCCAAGAGAACTGCCCAGATCAAAACAGCACAAAAAAGTTCAGGAAAAATTACTTCACTTCTAAAAGGGTGTTTTTTTCAGAGATACCAAAGGTTAATATCTTGTTTCTCTTAGCCACTCAAAAGCCAAGCCGTACATGACCAAAGATCATTTGACAAAATTTATCAACAAAAAGCAACGGGATTCCCACCTCAATGACACGCTTTTCCCTCCTGCCAAGCCACAGCAAGTTCAAGGCCTCATTGACAAATATGAGCCTAGCGGGATGAATATTCAGAGAGGTGAGTATCATTGTTTGTGTTTTTAATTATCTTGCAAGTCTCCTAGAGTACCTGTTCTGGAAGAAGGGTGGGAGACAAATAAAATATGTTCCCATTTGGAACATCCCTTTCCAGGATAATTCCAGATGATATATAAATATTTTAGATAAAATAAAATATACATGTATATTTCTGTGTGAAGTGTGGAAGCAGCTTAAATCCGAGTGCAAAGTATAGAGAAGTCCACATTAGCTGGGGGCAAACATCTGTATGGTCAAGCACTTTCTAAAAATACCTACAACCTGTGTTTTATTTGCTTCGTTTAATACAAAGGGCACAAGTCAGTCAGCAAGCTCCTCTTCAGCTGGACACTTTTAGTGTAAATGCTAATTTGCTAAAACAAACAAATATATTCATCCCCTGAATAGCACAGAAGATAATTTTTAAAGAGTTTCCTCAATATTTTTGAAAGGTTTTTTAAAAAGACTTTGATAAACAGAACAGATTGGCAATAGGTCCCTGCTGCAAAGGGCTCAGATCAGAATCCTTCAATGTTAGTACTGATCTACTAAAAAAAAACAAAAAAACAAAATCCAACATATAAGATAATTTTAAAAACTTTCTTCAAGCTTTCTTCAATTTTTTGGTGGAATAATTTATTTCAAAAACACTGATTTCTTCAAGAGTAAGGAAATCGAGTTTTAGAAAGAAGTGAGGTCAGAAACCAAGGTAAGATTTACACTCATTTGTCACCAAACAGCACTAAGTATCACAAGGAGGAAGGAATAAATGCTCCATTTGGATGAGAACTGCTGTTGTTGTTTATTCATTTAGTCGTGTCCAGCTCTTCATGACCCCATGGACCAGAGCACGCCAGGGCCTCCTATCTTCCACTGCATCCCAGAGTTAGGTCAAATTCATGTTGGCTGTTTCAATGACAATGTCCAACCATCTCATCCTGTGTCGTCCCTTTCTCCTCTTGCCTTCACATGTTCCTAACATCACATGTTCCTAACAGCAGCCATTTCGGGGCTTCCGGCAGTGTTTTCGCGCCCTCCCCTTGCTTACCAAGGGCGCGAACACGCTGCGCCCTGGCCCCTTTCGGCTGTTCCGGCGGCCATTTTGGACCTGCCGGACAGCTGATCGCAGCCATTTTCGCACCCTCGTTCTGCGAGGGGAGGGCGCGAAAATGGCTGCCGGCATCGCTGTACGGTAAGTAAACGTGCCGATTGGAATGCATTAAACGTAGTTTAATGCGTTTCAATGGCTTTTTAACTTCCGTGCAGCGATGTTTCACACAGCGAGGGTTGATCCGGAACAGATTAACCTCGCTGTGCGAGGCACCACTGTATGTGTTAATGGCAAGCAGTTCTTTTTGCCTGCCTTCTGCTTGCACAGGTAGAGACCAACAGCAGTGCAATTTGTAAATTATATCTTGAAAAAAAATTCTCCTAGTTTAGCACTGTAATGCTAAATCCTAAAGAAATTTTGGGTAAAACACATAAATCCTAAGGAAACCATCGAAGGAAGAAACGAATGTGGCATCCAGACAAATAAGGCAGCTGCCCATCACAGCCAGTAAACACCTAAATATGTTGTGACAGAGAGGAAGAAAATATTCTTAAACAGAATGCAGGAAAAAATGTAATTCCCCCCCCCCATAAACCCTGAGCTTGTGGTAAGAAGGGCCTCAGTGATTCTCACCGCCACAGTTTTGTGGATTTTGATTTCAGAAGTCAGTGAACACCATAGAAGGACGGTCCAAGGTCGGTTCCTTCAGGCCTTGGTGTTGCACTCCAGTGATAATAACAATGTTTTATTGTGTAGGTCAACTATCGCCAGAGGGAATGGTCTGGTTCCTTTGTGGTCCTGAAAACAGTATAGTGTCACAGGAAAAACTGTTGCTATACCAGGATATGAATCAGCCGCTCTCTCACTACTTCATCAATTCATCTCATAATACCTACCTAACAGGTACAGTATGCCTCTTTCCCTCTGGAAACACTATGAGTTCAAACAACTGCTGTATTCTAGGAAAAGTTTTTTGATCAAGTGTTCTCTGTACAAAAACACAAGGTGGAAAATATAGTTGGTTGGGTTTCTTGTGCTACCACTGAACCATGATGCACTTGAATCAGCTGATACTCCTCCTCCAAAATGTACCGATGAAAAAATTAGTATTAATTAGAGGATAAAGCACTAGCAAGGCTGATCTAAGCAGAAATTGGAAATATCACTCTATTTAACAGTTCTTAGAACCCTTTAGCCACCGTGCCACTGTTGATGGTGGGAAAGGATTTTTGGAAGTTGTAGTTCAAAAAGGTACTTTCTCCATGCTCTAGTTCTAAAACATTTAAGTAAATTCAGATCATTTCCCCCTCTAATATTACAGTGGTATCTCAATTTAGGAATGTAATCCGTATTGGGACTGCGTTCTTAAGTCAAAATGTTCTTAAGTCAAAGCACCATTTCCCATAAGAATGCATTGAAAACTATTTAATCCATATCTGCTGTTTTTCGTTCTTTAGTCGAGGCACTGTTCTTAAGTCGAATCATTAGTTCCCATAGGAACTAATGCAAAGCCGGTTAATCCATATCTACCACTAGGGGGTGAATTTTTGTAATTTTTTTCTTCTTCTTTTGACCTAAGGTGAACTTAGGTCAAAATAAGGGCAGGAAAGGTTTTTTCTTTTTTCTTTTGGTTCTTAAGTCGAGGCTCTGTTCTCAAGTCAAAGCAACTTTTTGCTAACAGAGCCACTCTTAACTTGAATCGTTCGTATGTAGGGACTTTCTCAAGTCGAGGTACCACTGTACTCATTCAAAACCTCTGACTTGCCTGTATGATCACAGACTTGCCTCTCTCCCTGTTTTTTTTATTTTGTTTTTTTAAAAGCTGGTCAGTTTTCTGGAATTTCATCCCCTGAAATGTATCGCCAAAGCCTTTTGGCAGGTTGCCGTTGTGTGGAGCTTGATTGCTGGAAGGGACGTCCTCCAGATGAAGAGCCCATCATCACTCATGGGTTTACCATGACAACTGAAATATTATTCAAGGTACAGAGTTCTTTGAAGGTCATTTTCCCATAGTTTGGTTTGTTTTACTTAGGGATTCCAAGGGTGGTATGAAATTTCAAAATATAAATTAAAAAATATACAAATGAAAAATACATAGAATGGCAAAAATTACATACTGAAAATGAAAAACCAGTGTTGTTGTTTAGTCGTTAAATTGGGTCCGACTCTTCGTGACCCCATGGACCAGAGCACGCCAGGCCCTCCTGTCTTCCACTGCCTCCCGGAGTTGTGTCAAATTCATGTTGGTAGCTTCAATGACACTGTCCAGCTATCTTGTCCTCTGTCGTCCCCCTTCTCCTCGTGCCTTCACATTTTCCCAACATCAGGGTCTCTTCCAAGGAGTCTTCTCTTCTCATGAGATGGCCAAAGTATTGGAGCCTCAGCTTTAGGATCTGTCCTTCCAGTGAGCACTCAGGGTTGATTTCCTTCAGAATGGATACGTTTGATCTCCTTGCAGTCCAGGGGATACTCAAGAGTCTCCTCCAGCACCACAATTTGAAAGCATCAATTCTTTGGTGCTCAGCCTTCTTTATGGTCCAGCTTTCATTTCCATACATCGCTACTAGAAAAACCATAGCTTTGACTATGTGGACCTTTGTCAGCAAGGTGATATCTCCGATTTTTAAGATGCTGTCTAGGTTTGTCATCGCTTTCCTCACAAGAACCAGGCATCTTTTAATTTTGTGGCTGCTGTCACCATCTGCAGTGATCATGGAGAAAGTAAAATCTGTCCCTGCCTCCATAACTTCCCCTTCTATTTGCCAGGAGGTGATGGGGCCAGTGGCCATGATCTTAGTTTTTTTTTT